TGCCTGGCTGCGTTTCTCCAACAGCGCTCTCGCAGGCAGCAGCTGCCCCGCCCCCTCACTCAGTCGCTTAGTGTCTGAGCTCAGATCATACCAATATTAGGGGGGATTTACGCACAGTTGTAAATTCCCACAGTGTGCACTATGTGCTTCGAATATTGTGTGTAGTCTTTGTTTTATACAGTTGTCAACCAGGCATCTAACTATGAAAAAATTACACTCCAAAAGACCCCGGGCTTCTGAAAAAACAATCCGGGCTTAAGCCCAGTAAGCCACCCCCCCGCTCCACCACTGCTATAAAGGATCACTGTGGCTTATACTGAGGTTGGGTTTAAAGATGAAAAGATACCAAATCGCCATTCAATGAACTTAAGTGATCTTTAAAATAGCGCCCCCATTTCGCAGAAGATCCCTTGGACCTGTTAGCAGAAGTATGAAAATACACAGAGAAGTCCAACATCAATAGTAAACTGCACAGACGAGGATTGGGGAGGAATAAACACACATCACCTTTCGGCCATTTTGGATGAATGAACATACATGTTCGTATACAATGTCCAAACATACATTTTTCAAACCTTCAGAACTTAGGTTTTCTTATAGGTTTTGTCATTACATCTGCTACCATCTCATCTGTTTTACAATAATCTGAAGTTATTTTTCCTTAACTCACATTTGACCTTACAAAGTGATACCTTATGTCAACATGTTTACATCTGTTACAGGATTCTTAGCCAATGCATCAATGTATCTTTTTAAACTTTTCACGGCGCATATTTCTGTTCATCAATACCTCGTAACAGTTGAGTTAAGTACATGCACTCCTGTGAGGTTGTAGATAAAGCCATGAACTCATCTTCACAGGTAGATAATGCAACAGTAGGTTGCTTTTTGGTTTTCCACAAAATCAAAGAACCATTTACAGCCATACTTATACAATATCCAGTTGTACTAAGTCTGTCTGTTACATTACCTGTCCAATCAGCATCCCTGTATGCCCACAACCTCAGTTCTTCATTGTTACATTTCCTGTAACACAGTTCTTTCTCAGATGTCCCTTTCAGATATCTCAGTACATGTTTTACTGTAGTCCACTGGTCTTCAGTTGGCTCACTAAAATACTGCGACAGTTTACTGAGTATAAAACTCAAGTCTGGCCTTGTGCATGGTAGATCACACTACCCACTGCCACTCTGTACCTTTTGACATCATTCATCTTTTCTGCACCATCAGTGTAGTTCAGTTTTTGTTCACAAGGTGTCAGTCTAGCTTGGCAATCCTGCATGTTGAACCTTTGAAGTATTTTTTCTACATTTTGTTTTGTTACATTTTTACACAGTTATCATGCTGTGTAAGTATCATGGTCAAAATATATACCAATGAAATGTCCAAGTTTACTCAAATCCTTCATTTTGAATTTTGCTGCAAGGATTTTCTTCAAAACAGTTCACTTCCGTCACTGGCAGGAATGATAAAGTCATCTACCCATTTGATCAAAATCACCTTATTTTCTGTCATCTTTGCGTAAACACAATGGTCAGTGGATTCTGCACAAAGTTGTTCTCCCTCAGATATTCATGTAGCACATTGTCCCAATTTCTACCTGACTGTTTTAGCCCATATAGTGACTTTTTCAGCTGATCCTGAGTATCTGTGTGTTCTGTACTCACATCAGTCATTTCTCTGGTCCTGCTGGACCTGTTTTGTATCTCAAAGTCAATGTCATCATCTGGCATTATGTCAGGTTGTGTTTGTCTCTCTGCTCTTGTTTTGGTCTCAAACTTCATGAGTCAATGCTTCTGTACTTGTCCACTGTTTGGGTAGCAGACCATATAGTCTGAACTGTTTTTGTCATATCCAACCAAGATTCCTTTCTCACACCGTGAGTTTAGTTTTCTCTTGTTCTGCTTGTAGGCATAACACACTGACCCAGATCTTTGCAGATTTGTCCTTCTTCCTGTCAGCATTACATATGATGTCTGTTTTTTGCATCTGTTAAAACATCTCTTCCTCACTCCAGCTGCTGTTTGCACTGCATAGGTCCACAACTCCTTTGGTAACTCTTTCTCCATTAGCATACACCTGGCCATATCAAAGAGTGTGCGCCAATTTCGTTCAGCAGTAATATGAATAGCAAGTGGTTTGAATGATTCTGGCAGTCCCTTCAAAACCAATAACCCATCACTCAGTGTTTCACCAGCATTTTTCAGGGCATTGATAGCTGTCTCTGCTCTATAACATAGTCAAACTCTCACTGCTGGACTTTTGGAGCGAAGTCAGTTCTGTATACAGACTAATTATACGAGGCTTTTATCATCCAGAAACTGGATCAGCTCCGCGTATACCTCTGCATTTTTTGGTGTGTCTTCTTCTCCCTCCATGTTGGTAGGCTGCTTCAAAATAATGTCTCTTAGTCCTTGCAAACACAGGTGGCCCACAAATTTTGTCTCCCACAGTTCATAATTCTTTTCGTCCCCATCAAAAACTAGCCAAAACCAGCAGCTGTTTGACTCAGTGGCTCGTCGACTCATGGCGCTAGCATGGTATACTGATACTCAACGGGTACACTGTACATTGCGACGCTTCTCTCGGTGGCAATACTTTAACTCCTTTAGAAACGTCGTAGTTATCTGGGCCCATAGCCCGTCAGCAGAAGTATGAAAATGGGCAGAGAAGTCTGACATCAATAGTGAACTGCACTGACAATGATTAAGGAGGAATAAACACACATCAGCCTTCAGCCATTTTTTATGAATGAACACGCCCCCCGAGAGAGCGCAACTTTATTAACAGCTAGCAAACACACACGTACACCATGCATCAAACAGAACAGAAACCCACTGGCCGTTTCCATAACTGAGAGCATTTTCTTTCTTCATGTCAACTGGACCTCTGTGCTACGATAGCAGGAGGCTCTAATGTTTTTTAAGACCGATGCTGTTTCCCCAATGAGCATCAATATTGATTAAATATATCCTTATACGCAATTTTCCCTGTTTTGAGTCCAGCTTTGAATCCCTTGGGGAGTGCATCAAGGACATGATGCACCATTGGCTACAAAAATCTGTCAAATCCAATATGTGGAGTTACATACTCTGACTCCTCTGGGTTAAGGGAGTAGCTAAAGTAGCTTTTACTTTGTTATACTTAAGTGCACTTTGCACCCTCTTGTTTGATTAGTAAAAAAGCAAAAAAAATTCCTTTTGATGTAAAACAGCTGCAAACTGATCCTGCTCATTTTAACTGTCATTTCAGGTAAATAATCATGGCCTCCGGTGGTACTCTTTTATTCATTTTCACTGCCCTCTGTGTTACTGCAGTCAAGAGTGGTAAGTTTATTCATAATCTGAGAACCTTAAGCATGGAATGGTGTTTGGTACTCATGTAACCTCAAATCTATTTTTGCTTTCTTTTTCTACAGGATTTGTGAAAGTGGAATGCAAAGCTGAAAATGTGGGACAATATGGCCAACAGTCACTGCTGGAGTGTGTCATCAAAACATCAACAGATATAAAGGATCCAACTATCCGTATGGTTGCTTGGAAAAAATTGACCTCGCCAGAAGACGAAGGTGATCCCGTGTTGGGTTTCAATAGAAGGAAATTGGACCGGCCAAAGCGAGGCTACAGGTTTGCTGAACCATCATGGAACGAGAAGAACATGAATGTATCTCTGCTCATCACCAACACTGCAGTGGCAGACGATGGATATTACAAGTGCATAGTGATCACAGACAGAGGTGATGGCAACAAGGTCACTAACCTTAAAGTCCAAGGTAACACTGAAACATTTTTATATTTTTAAATCAAGGATGTTTTTACATTTTTTAAACACCTTGTAAGCAATCAAGATTGCCTAGAGATGTGGGGACTTTCCTGGCCAATCAGATTGGTATTCCCCTTGAGCAACTCTAGGCTTGTCTGCTTACGGTACTTTCAGTTTCATTGTGACAGCAGTAACATCTAGAAATACTAGTTGTACAAGTATTTGCAGCCATTTACCTAAGCAGCTTGTACTGTTTGACTTGTAACTTCTTAATGCATGTGAATACTATGATTATCACATCTTAAGATACTTAATTGAGGTAATTTTATTTGACATCAAGGTGCAATGTTCAACTCAGTGATTGTGCTTTCCATTTCGTCTCTGCAGCCAAATACAGTATCTCGACTGTATACTCCATCCCTGAGAAAATTGTCCCAAATACAGACAGTACCCTGGTCTGTGAGTCTCGTGGAGGCTACCCACAGGGAACAATTCGCTGGTTTGATGAAGAGAAACATGACTGGACAAAAAGCGCTAAAATGGAGGCAAAACAGTCAGACGATGGTTTGTTTCAACTCACAAGCAGACTGTCTTTGTCGCGAGGATCCACTTTCTCAAAGTACATCTGCGCTGTGTTCAATGCCAGTGGAGGCAAAGAGGATGAGAAAACATTTGATACCAACATACCACCACCATCAGCCAGAGAATCTCCAGGTATAGTTTATGACACACCACACATGATAGTTGTTATGCCTGCTGGCACCATCCTACTGCTCACAATACTGTTTAGTAATTTCAGCCAAAGTGGGATTAGAGAGAATTTAAATCTGAACCAGCCCCCCACCACCCCACCCCCAAAAGATGTCAGAGTTACATAAATATTATGTAACCATTAAACACTTTGTTTGTGCATATGGGAGATTTAATGGGGGCTGAATTGAAACGAGGAACCATGCTATGTAAAGCGCGTTTTCTCAACGATATTAAAAGTCCTGAAGTTTGTTGCAATCCACTTGGCGTTGTGTCAGTCAATATGTCTGAGGTAGACTTACTGAGTCCCCAATGCTCCATGAGCAGTTTGTTGCAAGCTGGGTGACGCGCTAGCCAACGTCCTAGCAGCATCCCTGACTAACGCATACGTCGTGTCAATATGATATTTTAAGCTGGAAGTGCTTTGGTGAAAAGAAAATTCCTTCTTGCACAATGTGCATAATACTTTCTATCGGTTGATTGTTCCGTCTTGTTATTTTTTTAATACTCAAATTTCCCATCGAGAGGGCCACTGTGCATTTATCGTCTTCCAAATTGAGTTGATGGGTTCAGCTGCTCGTCACTACCAGATCTACTGCCCATTTGCGCATGTGCAAATGTAACTCTACTTGGACAAACTGCCCGAAATGCGTTGACAGAGACATTTCAGAGATTTTGAGTCATTCTGCGCTCCAGATGCACTAATTTAATCACACATTCATTTGCGTTAACACATTGATTTTGACAGCATGAACTATGACAATAACAAAGATTATTATGGCTATCTTGCTCCCACACGGAGGTGGCAGTCTGCTGCAAATCTTCCTCTGTTCAGTCTGACCTCGCCTCTGTCTGCTCCTCCTGGAACCTGAAAGACAAAACAAAAAACAACCCCTGCCGAGCCTTGATAATAATATTATCTTCTACTGATTCTACGGTCTGGTTCAGGATATCTTGCTCGGCCTCTCTGACACAGAGACTTGTAGAAAACCATTATCAGTGTGTATGTAAGCGTTGCTGCAAAAATCTACGTGTCCCTGCAATATTTCAGCCTAGTCATAACACCAGACGAAGCTCACGACCCTCAAAACACGGAGCGCCAACTTGTTATAAGCACAATTGCATTGTGCATAAATAAAGTAATTAAAACAGCTTTATTTAATAATTGAAATCCTAACCCTAACAGTCCCACAATACTAGATCCCACAGGTGTGCCCTATTTTTTTTCTACATCTGTAAATAACAAGAAAAAAACCAGATTGGTTAATGCTTGCTGTACTATGGAAAATCCCCCCACACATACATGTTTTAATGTTTCTGATGAAAAGAATTTCAGGTTCTCTTGGTAACTATCCCAGGCACTCACCTCACAATCTATAATTTCATTATCTGTCACAATACTGCAAGTATTGCCTGCCCTTTGTCTTTTTTACACTCTACTTCTACATGATTATTGTTTTAAAATTAAAGGAGAAATTGAATGTAGTTCACTGTAGTATTACAGGGAGACAAAGAGTTATCATGTATTCCTGTGTTTCTTAATTTTAAAAATGAACTCACTATTTTTTTCTTTTATTTATTTTATAGGACAATTCTCAAATAAGGTAGAGATCTACAAAATAGTTGTCCCTCTGGTGGTCATTGGTTCACTGATCGTATGTGGGCTGTTGATCTACGGATGGCAATCTCGAGGTGAGTACATGCTCCTCGTTTCCTACCTGATGGATTATACCTCTTTAAATGAACTGTCTTCATTATATAGAAACTAGTTCATGCATTTATTACTTCTAGGCTGGACTACTGTAATTCATTATTATCAGGAAGTCCTAAAAACTTCCTGAAAAGCCTTCAGTTAATCCAAAATGCTGCAGCATTTTGGATTAACATTTCTCCTGTTTTGGCTTCCCTTCATTGGCTTCCTGTTAAATCCAGAATTGAATTCAAAATCCTGCTCCTCACATACAAGGTCTTAAATAATCAGG